AGCGACCCCCGCACCGCGATGCGGGCGAGGGGTAGAGACCCGTGCAGCACCAGCCGGGGCCCGATCAGGGCGGATCTGCGGTCCGAGAGGCAGTAGGGCCCCACTGCTCCCACCCCGCCCTCGCCCTCGTCCTCCATCCTCTGCCACCAGCGCCTCCGCTGCCCCGGCGCTGGCGGAGGGACCACGTCCTCCTGGGGGGGGGGCGGGGCTGAGCCCCAGGCAGACCCTGGTTCCCCCTCCAGCCCCTCGGCCAGGGGGGCCCGATCAGGGCGGATCTGCGGTCCGAGAGGCAGTAGGGCCCCACTGCTCCCACCCCGCCCTCGCCCTCGTCCTCCATCCTCTGCCACCAGCGCCTCCGCTGCCCCGGCGCTGGCGGAGGGACCACGTCCTCCTGGGGGGGGGGCGGGGCTGAGCCCCAGGCAGACCCTGGTTCCCCCTCCAGCCCCTCGGCCAGGAGCGCTGCCTGGCTGATGCACACCCTGGGGATGCCGGCTCTAATGCTCTGGCAGAGCTGTCAGCCCCAGCCTCCTCCTCCCCTGTCTGCTTGCACCGTGGAGGCAAGCCCCCCAGGAGTCTGCCCCTAGCCCACCTGGGGAAGGAAGCAGTGGCAGTGAAATCACACTGGGGATCAGCACTAAGGGCCCTGGATGCCTGCCAGCTGTGGGGCAGAGCCAAGAAGTGGCAGGATCTGGGCAGCCTGGGGGTGGGGATGAATCCTTGGAGTGATCCCAAAAGAAAAGAGCATCAGGTTTCTAGGCTTTGGGCCCAGGGACAATTTTGCCCTCCCTGGGGCAAGGAAGCAAGAGGCTTGTGCCACAGCCTGGCCTGGGGGGAAGCTGCCCACTGCCTCCACCTGCCCACGAGAGTGTCCTCACAGCCAGTGTGTGGGTCAGCCGGGCTGGGCTGCAGCCTTCTCCATCTTCCTCTTGAGCTGTGTTGCCAGGGGGGCAGGCTTCCTAGGGCAAAGCAGAAGTCTGGTGAGCTGAGGCCTTGCTCTATAGCCCAGAGGCTTGGGGGTGCTGCAGGCTGGGCCGGGGAGACTGCTCTCCAGCCTCCTCTTGAGGTTGTGAGGAGGGGAGGGAGAGGGAAGGGGAGAGAGAGAGGCACAGGCAGACACCAAGAGAAAGAGAGAGAGAGGCAGCAGTCCAAGTATGTAGCATAGTGAGCTGAGCACTTCCCAGCACCTGGATCCCATTGGTTGTGGTCTCTACTCTCAGACTTGCACTGCTGCTCCTAGGTGGCCAACGTCCAGCATGCATGCCACATGTGGCACAGGCAGCCTTTGTGTGCAGCATGTGGCAGGGGCAGGGAGAAGAAAGCAGAGCAGCAGATCAGTCAGGAGAAGGGGATCCTTGGGGAGTGCATGGGGGATAGACTTTGTGGCACCCCTGCCTAAAAAAAACAGTTGTCCCCCCATTGGCCTAGACCATAAGTGTGAATTAACACCTGTACAGGCAGCTCCTGGGCTGAGACTATGGGCAAACTGAGGGGACCGAGGGAACTGACTGCAGCCTCACAAGGGCCTCCAGGTGGGCTACGGGCTGCGCAGTTTGATGGGATAAAATCCTCCTCTAAAGCTAGTTAGAGGAAGGCTTGCAATAAGGTCACTTGTCCCCTGGAGCCCTGAAGGGTTGGCTCTTGGCGGATCTGGAGCAAATTTATTTTCTGCTGTTGCCTGCCCGGACTCCATTTTCCTCTGCACCAATTCTCTCCTTAACATCACTCAGGCACAGCCCACACGGGGCACCGCTTCCCACACACAGAGCGCTCTGTGGCTGCACCCCGCTTCGCTTGCAGAGACTGATGGTGACACATCCCTGACCCTGCCAGTACCCCACAACATGCTTGCTGGCAACTATCGGCCAGGCTAACGGTTCCTCTTACAGCTGTATCAACCTAAATTAACTGCAGGGAAGCCGCAGGCACTGGTAAGACTCCCGTGCACAGTGGTGGGAAACTCACCGTCCTGGCATAGATTTCTGGGCGGAGCAGGCCTGGGTGCCCCTGCCTTTCCACAGCAGCTGAGGACCTAGGAAGGCAGTGCCAGACATAGCCGCTAGTGAGGGTGCATCTGCCTGGGCCCTGAGGTCACAGCACACACTCCCCAGGCTTGTCTCTGTGGCTCCACCCGCGTGTTCACATTAGCGCAGCTCCTGGCAGAGGCTTTAAGGGAAAGCGTGTGGCCCACAGCGTGTCGTCCTTAAATCAGACAGCTATGCTGGTCAGCTGGAAAACGGCAGGGGGGGTGGGCCTTGGCTTCTGCTCCACACTGGACTCAAGCAGTAGCCGTGTCAACACTCCTGGCTGGCTGTGTTGCACTGGTATGTGTGATGCCTCTGGCTTTTGTGCTCTCCATTTTAAAGCCAGCTCCTCTCCACTGGCTCCGAGCCCTGCTCCTCAAGGGAATCCCAGCCCTTGGGGCATCTGTAGTGTTACTCGCAGCATTCGGCTGTAGGCAAACAGGCCTGATGGTTGCGTGGTGGTGGCATGAGTGACTGGTGCCTCCTGAATCGGGGGGGTGTCACCCGCAGAAGCTGCTGATGGCCCTGTTGGGGAGGGGAGGGCGGGGGGGCACCAGCCCTACCGTCAGCATCAGTGTTGGCTGTCAGGGGGGGCACCGGCCCCTTGGGGGGGGGGCACGTGCACCCCCAACCAGTCCCCTATGGGTGGTTGGCACAGTAGGGGTGTAGGAGCCCAGCTCTCACACCCACCTAATCCCAGGTGAACATTAACCCATTCCATCCCAGGCTACAGCAGTATACAAATAAGGCAGGGGAAATTTATCCAGGACCAGCTTCTGTCCCTGGTCCATGCCCACTGCTGCGGCCAGCAGTATGGGGAAGGGATCTTTGGCAGCCCCTTTTCAGAGCACAGTGGGTACAGTGGGAAGTGTGTCTCAGCATGTGTGCATGTGCAGAAACACACACACACATATGCTTGCTCGCGCGTGCACTTGCGCTGTCTCTTTCTCAGAGCATTGGCTGGTGTTGGTGCCATCCTCCTGCCATGCGCTGCCCTGTGCTTCCATTTCACACACACAACCATGTGAGGCAGCAAATCTCAGCTGCCCAAGGAGGCACAATGCGGTATCAAGTCACACAGGCCAGACTAGAAGACTAGACAGCCAGACCCAGCCCTTGCTGCTGTCCCCTGCTCCTGGTCTCACTTGTCTCCAGAGGGTACCTTGGATGCCAATATGGGGGAGAGGGGCAGGGATGGGTGTGTGCATGTACATGCACATGCAGGGGTTGGGGGGGGGTCCTTTCACTGTGGCCAGGGAGCGACCTGAAGTCTGTAAACCAGGCTGAGGGAAGGGCCACCCTACAGCCAGTGCACCACAGCCCCAGGGTTTCATCAGCCTACTCTCCTCCCAGCTCAGCCACAGGTGATGGTACTTGGAGAACAAAGGAGGGTCATAGGAAATAGCCCAGGGAAAGGCTCCTGGTTGTTGCTTTGCCCGTCCATTCCCTAGCTCATCTGCACAGGCTCAGCTTCCTTGACAACCCCACTCTGATTTAAAAGCCCTGGCAGCTGGGTGAATGTCATCCCTGTCTTGGGCATCACTTCCATCACCTCCCTTGACAGCCTTTGGCCCCTTGAGTAACCACAACCCTCTGCCATGTACAGGCTGGAATTGCCAATTTACACAGGGGGCTTTGATCTGTAAGTGCCTGGCTTAGGCCTGGGCAGCTGCTGCTCCTAGCACTGCCATTTGGAGTCACAGCTGTGGAGCATCACTCAGCCCTGCTCTGTCTCCCCTAGCAGGCTAAAGGCTCACTGGCATCTGCAGACCTCCGAGTCTCTGACTTGCTTCTAGTAGGAGCCCTTCATAACAGAGCCTCCAGCAGCACTGTGTGCATGCTGCTGGTGTGCCTAGCAGGGGGCTCAGCCGGAAGTGGCTGTCCTCGGCACTTACAGGACCTCGCAGACCTTGCCACACCCCTGACAGCATTGGCCTTTCCTGGGGGGTTGGCCCCCAACACACATGCGCTAATGGGGCAGAAGGCATCTGCCTTGGCTCAGTCAGATGCTTGGTAGGGCCATGGCAAGTGAGGGCCTCTGGCTCCGGGACAGTCAGGGCAGAGGGACAACCGCTTGGTTGAGCCACTTTGGAAGGGTTGGGGGAGCGCCTCCTGTTTGGGAGTGCACAGCAGCTGTGCGCTCTGTTATCTGTGCATGAGCCTCTAGCATCGTGGTCCTCAACCTTAGACATGCCACATCCCTCAATAGCTTCCAACACCCTCCACTTCCTGCCCAACATCCTCAGAAAATGCCAGTTCTTTGGTTTCACGTGTTTTTTTGACTCCAGCAGAATAACATGGCAGGTCTTCTCTTGCAAAGATCTCAGAGCACTCACAGCAGGGCAGCCTGCCAGCACCACTCTGCATTTCTACATGAAATCTCTGGGTTTCATCATGTGAATCGTCTGCACACCAAACAGTGCTGCCACTGTGTGGCAGCCCACCGCACAATCTCAAAGACACCCCAGGGTGCCACAGCCCCTTGGCTGATTAGCACTGATGAAGTGATGCATGCAAGCTGACTTTGCCCCTGGATGAAGTTGAGTTCAAGCTGGAACTGGAGTGGTTTTTGCTGTCATGCAGATGTAAGGGTTGCAGCCTCACAAGCCAACAGCCTTTGGTATCTATGCACTTGCTATCCCTGGCCATACTCAGCTGGGCACCAGTCCCATATCCCCTACAGCAAATGGGAAGCAAAGGTGCTCTGTAACTGGAGGGGGGACAGAACACCACACACGCACCGTATCTGTCCCATTCCCCTCCTCCCCCCTCAATCTCGCATGCCTGACCTCTTTGCTCACAGAGGTCAGGGCTAAGATGCTAATTTTTTCAATTTTTTTCTCAGCTGCTAGTGCTACATCTGCCTCCACCAGGGAGCTGCCAGCAAATCTGCTGATGAATGAGATGAGCTCTTTTCCACCACAGCCCAGCGCAGAGGACATGTGCCAAAACCCACAGCTACCAGCCCAGGGCTGCATGGTGCCATCTCTAGTGCAACCGGGCACTGCTCCAGCCCCATTCATCTGCCCTTTGGGCCCTGCCAGAAGATGAGGAAGAAGAGTCTTTGACACTATAAAGGGACTGCTGGCCAGTTACATAGGCTCCTAGGGAAGTAG